TCATTGCTGACCTGGTGGTGGGACTCTGCACTGGCCAGATCAAGACAGGTGCACCTTGCCGATCTGAGCGCTTGGCCAAGTACAACCAGATCCTCAGAATTGAAGAGGAGCTGGGCAGCAAGGCTCGGTTTGCTGGCCAGAAGTTCAGAAACCCTCTCGCCAACTAAGCTCTGGGCAGCCAGCTTCCTAGTCAGCTCATTAGACCTCTGCTCCTGATTCAAATGGCAGCTCCAGGCATCAGACCAGTACTGCAGGGCCTCTGGTAGTTAACTCCCTTCCCCATTCCTGGTCATGTTCTTACTACTTCATTAGAGCTGCTCCCGAAGCCAAGCTTGACCATCTGGAAACCTGAATTTGTCATGTGAGCGACCCAAATCATTGTTTTTCTCACTGTTTCCCGCTGAGTCACGGGCCATGTGTACCATGATGTGATCCCCAAGATGTCAACAGGCAGCATCTTCAGTGGTTTTATGTGCAAAATAAAAGAAACAGTATCCTCTAAAAATAAATAAACAAACAAACAAACAAACAAATAAATAAATAAATAAATTCTTACTATGCATGTATCCTTTCTCTTTTTTGTTTCTAATATTGTTTGTATTTTTTTCTTTTTCTCAGAATTGATCTTAGTCTTTTCAAAGAAATATACATGAGTCAGGTCCTTAAATTTAAGTCCTGCAGGAAATAGATTGTTTTTATTTAACTGTCAAATCAGAACCAACCTCTAGTGAGATTTCAGAGGCAGTAAGTAGCATGGGAAAAGATTTTTCATCTTTATTCTGCAGAACAGCTGATGGATTAAAACTGTGTGTCTTCAATTTGGCAGCACAACTCCTTAGCACAAGGTCACCAGAACTTCCTGAAGGAAATAATAATTCTCTAACATTGAAAAGAACGGGAATCTCAGACCACTTGATTTTGCTCATGTGAAACCTAGACCAAGAAGCTGGTGTGAGAACAGAGCAAGGGGATATTGCATGGTTCAAAATAAAAAAAGGAGTGTGTCAGGGATGTATCCTTTTTCCATACCTTTTCAATCTATATGCAGAATAGATCATTTAAGAGACTAGACTTTAGAAAGAAGAATGTGGCAACAGGACTAGATGATGACTCATCCACAACTTGCATTATGCAGATAACACTACTTAATGACACTACAGATGCTCACTGAAATGGAGGAGGACTTAAAGGTGCTTGCTGCAAACGTCAACATGAATTGAATCTCAACATCAAGAAAACAAAAATTCTTACCACCAGGCCATTGGCAGCATCATGATAGATGGAGAAAAGATTGAAGTTGTTAACAATTTCATCTTGTTTAGATGCACATCTCTTGGCAACAGCATTGGGAAATCGAGAGAAAAGTTGCTTTGGGGAAATCTGCTGTTAAGGACCTCGCCAGAGTGCTAAAGAGCAATGATGTCAGTCTAAAGACTAAGGTGCACATGACCCAAGATATGGTCCTTTCGATTGCTCGCTATGTATCTGAGAGCTGAACAATCAATAAGGATAACAGAAGGAGAATCGATGCTTTCAAGTTGTGGTGCTGGAGAGGAGTATGGAACATACCAGGCAAAAAAACCAAAGTGGTCTCTCCTGGAAAGGGTGAAACCAGGTTGCTCCTTGGAGGCAAGAATTTTGAAACTCCTTCTCACATACTTTGGGTATGTTGTGAGGAATGGTTAGTCCTTGGTAAAGGACTTCATGCTTGGAAGATCCTTTGATCAGCGTAAGAGGAAAACCCTGGATAACATGGACTGATACACTGGCAATGGGATCAGGTATGTCAGAGACAATGAGATTGCCTCAGGATAGGGCAAGGTTCAAAGCCATTGTTTATAAGATTGATATAAGTCATAGTCAAATCAACAACATAAAACAACAACTGGATAATTTGGGTAGAATTTAGTAATGGAACTATTTATAAAACTGATAAAAGTACTATGGGAACCCTGCTAGTAGTAATAAAGGCTAATCATTGGGCTTATAATTTAGGTAGATTTATGGTTCAAATCTACCAGCCACATATTGGAAGAAATAGACATTGTGGCAGTGGGTGAACAGTACAGTACCATAGGGCTGGTAATAAATAGTTGCTACCACTTCCAGGGTAATGTCAGGTGGATGGAGCAGTTACCAAAACTTGAGGACAGAGAGGGATCTTCCTATGTGATTGGCTGCCATCAAAAACCCACTGGAGGGTCAGCTAAGAGTCAGTTCCAACCTGACAGGACACAACAACAACAAAGATATAATGTTGTTGTTGTTGTTATGTGCCGAAGACTTGCTTGCGACTAATAGCGACAGCCCTAAATTCCGCTCTGTCCTGTGCCAGTCACACAGTCTCCGATACACTGATCCCAATTGCCCCAGCCACTGACTGAATCAATCCACTTCATAGAAGGCCTTCCCCTCCTGTAAGGTCCCTCCACCCTCCCAAACATGATGTCCCTCTCCAAGGACCGGTCTCTCCTTACAACATGTCCAAAGTATGTTAGATGGAGCCTCAGAATCCTTGCTTCCAAGGAGCTTCCCCGTTTGACGCTTTCCAGGAGGAAACTGTTAGTTTTCCTAGCAGTCCATGGTACCCTCAATACTCTTCTCCAGCACCACAGCTCAAAGGCATCAATTCTCCTTCTATCCTCCTTAGTCATTGTCCAGCTTTCTGATGCATAACAAGTGATTGGAAAGACCATGGCCTATATCAGACACACCTTAGTCTCCTGAGAGACACCATTGCTCTTCAGTACTTTGGAGAGGTCCCTAACAGCAGACTTTCCCATGGCAATACGTCTTTTAATTTCCTGGCTACTGGTGCCAAGAGTGTTGACTGTGGAGCCAAGCAAACTAAAGCTGTGAACAATCTCAATCTCTTCACCATCCATTCTGATGCTGCCAGTTGACCCAGTGGTGAGAATCTTTGTCTTCTTGATATTGAGCCTCAATCCATATTGGAGGCTGCAGTCCTTGACCCTCTGCAGCAAGCAGGGTTGTGTCATCTGCATATTACAGATTGTTGATAGATCTTCCACCAATCTTGACCCCATATTCCTCCTCATAGAGCACAGCCTCCCGGATAATCTGTTCTGCATACAGGTTGAAAAGGTATGGAGACAGGACACATCCCTGGCACATGCTCTTCCCAACTTTGAACCGTGCAATGTTTCCTTGGTCTGTTCTGACGACTGCCTCTTGGTCCAAGTATAGGTTTCTCCTTAGCACGATCAAGTGTTCTAGGATTCCCATTCTTCTCAGAGTCAGCCACCATTAGTTATGATCCACACAGTCAAACACCTTTGCATAGTCAATGAAACACAGATATACATTCCTCTGGTATTCCCTGCTTTCAGCCAAGATCCATCTAACATTAGCTACAATATCCCTAGTACCACGACCCCTTCTAAATCCATCCTGGACTTCTGGCAGTTCTCTGCTGATGTGCTGTTGCAGTCGTTTTTGGATAATCTTCAGTAGAATCTTGCTTGCATGTGAAATCAATGATCTGTAGTTTCCACACTCTGTTGGGTCACCCTTCTTTGGGATGGGAACAAATATAGATCTCTTCCAGTCAGTTGGCCAAGTTGTTGTTCTCCAGATTTCTTGGCACAACTTGGTGAGCACATCCAGGGCAGCATCTGTTAGCTGGAATATGTCACTTGGTATACCATCCATTCCTGGGACCTTATTTTTTTGCTATTTTCTTCAAAGCAGCTTGAACCTCTTCCTTCATCACCATAGGCTCTTGCTCATATGTTGTTTCATGAAATTCTTCTGTGTCTGCCAATTCCTGTCGATACAGTGACTCAGTATATTCTTTCCATCTTCTTTTAATACTTCCTGGATCATTTAACATTCTGCCTAAAGCATCCTTGATGATAACAACTTGAGGTTTGAATTTGTTCTTCAGTTCCTTGAACTTAAGAAATGCTGAGCGAATTCAGCCCTTTTGGTTTTCTGACTCCAACTCCTTGCACATTTCATTGTAATATTTTACTTTGTGGAACAGACCACCAACTACTCATATGCCAGTTCAAGCTGAAGCTGAGGAACCAAAATTTGACTTTGAGTCTATCCCCCCCAGAATTTCAGAACCATCTCAGGAACAGGTTTGAGGCCTTGAACACTAATGAGCGAAGACCAGACGAGTTGTGGGAGGATATAAAGGGTATCATCATCAAGGAAGAGTGCAAACGGTCATTGAAAAGACAGAAGAGGAAGAGAAGACCAAAATGGATGTCAGAAGATACTTTGAAAATTGCACTGGAGCTCAGAGAAGCCAAAGCACAAGGAAGAACTCAAGATACCAAAGAGTTGAATAGAAGATTTCAAAAGGCAGCGTGGGATGACAAAGCAAAGTAAAAGATATAATGTCGGAATTATATTTTGGTCCCCCATTATTATAAATCACTATAAAATGATTAATAGTGGAATATAGCACTCCTTAATCCCATCACAATTCTAATTCTACATAAGGGGAGTTTCCATAAGGTATAACCTGCTGCTTTTATTGTTGTTAGCTATTATACAGCCACTCATATAAACAACACATTTGAGACCAGTCCTAGCCTGTGCCATTCTCATGATCTCTGGCATGCTTTAGCCCATTGCTGCAGTCACCATGTCAATCCACCTTATTGGGAATCTTCCTCTCCTTTCCAAGCATGATGTCCTTACCAAAGAATAGCTTTTCCTATCAACATGCTCAAAGTATGTGAGACAAAGTTTCATTATCCTTGACTATGAGGAGCACTCTTGCTGCACTTTCTCCAAGACATATCTGTTTGTTTTGTTGGCAACCTGTAGGATATTCAGTACACTTCTGCAATACCAAAGTTCAAAGCCATGAATGCTTCTGTCATCCTTATTCACTGTACTGCTCTCAGGTGCACAGCAAGTGACGGCAAAGACCATGGCCTGAATCAGGGTCTGATTGGGCCCCTGGATCTTGAGATATGGTGCTGTCATTGAGGAAGGCAGCCGAGTCACGTCCCTCATCAGCCTGCTTGGGCCCTTTGAGTATCATCAAGAAAGAATTTCCAGGAGTAGACCTAGGCACAAGGAAACTCCTTAATACCTGGGTTACAGATGCTGAACTTAGCAAGGACTTTCATCCATAACTGACAGCATAGGGGTTCTGCTTGAGATGACTCCCTAAATTTAGATCCCA